AAAATAATATATATATATATATATATATATGTATAACAAATATATAAAACTTAATATTTGTTTTTATAGTTCGATCTGTTTGGTATATAAAAACAAAAACGACATTGCGAGATAATTTAATTTTTAAAAAATAAATAATCAAATTAACACATATAAATTTCAACTGAAAATTAATGTAGAAACGTATAATCGAACTAAATATTCAAAGCGCCATATAACTATTGAGTTTTATTTATAAATTCAACACATGAACTTAGTTGTAATAAAGTTAAAATTTATTAATTTTCAAAAATTCCCAACCCTAATTTTCTAATTGCTGAGTTCTTCCCCATCTCTAATTTCAGATTTTTTTTGTGGTTGGTCCTTAAAAAACTTTGTCAAATCAAAGTCACTTCCAGATGTGCAAATTTCCCTCGTGTCTAGGCATTTTCTTACCGGTCTAGTGCGCTAGTGCCCGCCGTGCATTCCAGATCGACGGATGGGAGTGGACATGGCGACGGGGAGGGTGGATAAAGTCTTCGGCGCGTCCACCGATTATAGCACTTTCGGAATTTACGGATCAGAGCTCGGCAAGAAGGACAGCAACAGGCGAGTTAAGAGGGGTGACGGCGAGGGGCGAGGGGCGAGGGCACGGTGCGGACGACGGGGGACGTTGTCTCCAGGGAACAGCACAGGCGACCAGCGAAAGGGCACAGCCAACCGTCGCCGCCGATGGATTATGCATGGAGGGAAGCTGGAGGCGACGATGATGCTCTGGCATTGAACCCTGCATGGAAAACTGATGGTATATTGTCAGTGGACTCTGGCGGTGGCGGGGTTTCTCCGTCAGACATGGTGTGAGAGGTGGTGTTGGCTGGACAGAGCGGCGGCAGTGGAGGGGCGGTGGTAGCTGGACAGATTTTATGTTTTCTGTGTGTGATAATTATGTGTTGTGTGTGTGTGTGTGATGCGTATGGTAGTGTGTGTAAGGGACTGTGTGGTAGTGTGTGTGAGAGAGTGTAGTGGGGTGTGGTGGGATGAGACCCATGTAATTGTGTTAAATCC